CACTAGTTTATATCTTTAATAATATTTTCACGTGGAAGATGATTTTTTCCGTGGACTATTGTTTTAAAAGACGCGATTTCACATCCCTGAATGTTTGAAAAATAATCATTTAACATTTGGGTATTTTCCTCTTTTGGCAGGATTTATATTTTGCATGTCAATATATTACTAACTATTTTCTTAAATTTAGTTGTAGTATGTAAGGTTGTAAGGTGGTGGCAAGGTGGTTGTGTGCTGTCGTTGCAGTGGAGCGCATGACAACTCTGAGTGCACAAATAATATCAAATGTGCCAACTGCAAAGGAGAGCACTTGGCTTCCTCCAAATCGTGTCCAACTTTTGAATTTGAGTCTAAAATCCTGAAAATTAAACACACAAATAACATTACCTATCTTGAAGCAAAAAAATTAGTTCCATCTGCAGCTCAATCTCTGACTACAAAAACGTATCCAGCAGCCATCTCTTCGTCAATATCAGTTACTGCACTTCAGACCTCTGTTTCCTGTCAAACAAATATCTCCTGGGTCAAGGATGAGCAGGTTGTCCTTGGACATTCTTCTGTTTCATGTCAGAGTGGTCATCCGTCAGCATCTTCCCAGACAGAATCTCCTTCTATTTCTGAAGAAACTGACATTCGTTCTGTGGGAAAGGCCCACTTAATAAATAAGGAAAAGAAGAAATTACAAAAAAGTACCAGGGCACTCCAACACTTGGAGATGACTTTGTCTCAACACCAATTGAGGTTCATAACCCATATGAACCTCTGGCGATGGACGTCACCCCTACAGAACCAGTCCATGGGAGTGGACGTACCTCCCGCTCAAGATCACCTGTTGAGCCGTCATGAGCAGCTCGAACAAAATCATTCAGTGGAATTGAAGAGGATTAAGGAATAATTTTAATGATCTCCAACTATTACTACAAGATATTACACCGTCAGCATTATGTCTTCAGGAAACGTATTTGAAAAATACTGATCAAATCGACATAAGACGTTATAATTCCTACCATGTATATTCACCTCCAGGGGCCAAGGCCATGCATCATCATGGATGATTTAAATGGTCATAACCTACTTTGGGGTAGTACTCACACAAATAATAAGGGCAAGACGTTGGAAGATTTTATTTCTGATAATGATTTGTGTATATTCACTGGACAAAATATCATCCATTCCAAACAATCCAAAACTTGGAAATACCACCATTCCAAATGGAAATATGACCATTCCAAAATTTGTCAAGGTCATATTTCCAAGCTTGGATTTGTTTGGAGTTTTTTGGATTTGTTTGGATATGTTTGGATACAACATGTCATAATCATATCTGTTAAACGTTGTACAACTTTTGACCTTATGTGAGATTAGTAATGATATGAAAGTAAATAATTAAGAGTATTTGGGCACTATTTACCACGAAAAGACAAAATCATGAGCAAATTTAACTAAAAGAATTTATGTCATTTAAAGTGGCTACTCTATATATCTTATTTCTTATCTTCCCTGTCTATAATCATATGACATTGACTATGAACTTTGAACAATTAAACAAATATTTTTAGGCCGTGGGCTAGGTATGACCCACGAGCACCCCCTCCCCCCCCCCCCCCCCCCACACACACACACACACACATCCAAACCCAACTAATTTTTTTTAAAGCCCATAAACATACTAAACATGATTTTGAATGTTAACAAGAAAAAAGTTGGGACGAACTTGTTTTTACAGCCTTTCAAAGTATGGTACGCTATATCGCGTTTTCGCCCGTTTTTGGGTTGTCATCTCACTAGTGATCCACTGATCTTCAAGTGTGATATACCACTGGAAGCCATATATAAGTGGAATAGAATGGAAGTTAGATTGGACAAGTACAAAATTTAAATTGTTAGGAATAAATTTTGATGTGGACCTTGAAAAATGAGTGGAGATTAATTATGAGGAAAAACTGGAAAAAATTGAAAAGGAAATGAATCAATGGTCAGCAAGAAGTTTGACACCAATAGGCAGAAATGTAGTCTTAAAATCCCTTCTATTGTCAAAACTAAACCATTTATTCACTGCAATACCAAATCCTTCAGTCGAAACTATTGACAATTTTCAAAAAAAATTGTTTTAGATTTGTATGGAAGGGTAAACCAGACAAAATCAAGAGAAGCAATATTTCATTACCTAAAAAATATGGAGGAATTAAAGTACCCATTATAAAAGATGTTATAGCAGCACAAAAAATAGTATGGGTGAAGAGATTACTGTATAGTCAGTCCAAGTGGTCAACTCTAGTTTCTTATTGTATACCGAATAGAAACAGATTACTATGGATGGCAGATGCTATGTACATTAATACCTACATCATCCCAAATGTTGTAAATTTATTTTGGAAAGAGGTTTTGGAGGCATGGTCGCGATACCTGGGAATGAATAAAATAAAGACTAAAATTGAATTTATAAGCCAATCTCTATGGTATAATAACAATATTATTATTGGTGGAAAACCGGTATTTTATGGAAATTGGTTCTGTAAAGGTTTAATGTTTAATTGTGATTTATTGAAGGATAGCGGGGAAATATATACCTATGAAGAATTTGTGGAAGCATACAAAATTGAAACTGATTTTCTTACATATCAAGGTTTATTAAGTGCTGTCCACCAATATTGTAAAACCAACAATTTAGATAATTATACGGGAATATATTTACGACCAATATGACCCTTCAATGTATCACTTATAATTAATTGTAAAGGCGGAAGTAAAGACTTTTATAACACTCTTCTACAACCAAATTTCGTAAAAAGTGGGAAAATGTTTTACAAAAAGATTTTAGTAATGAAGAGTGGGAAATATATAATTTGATGGTTTACAGATGTACACAAAGTGTAAGCCTAATTTGGTTTCACCTTAAGATACTACACTATATTCTTGCAACAAATAGTTATTTATTTAAGATTGGTTATGAAGATACCCCCACATGTACTCTTTGTAAAACTTGCCCAGAAACCATTATTCATATGTTTTGTGAATGTCAATATACAATTCATATTTGGGAAGTATTGATTGTAGTAACCAAAATCTTTTATTTGGATTAAAAGGAAAAAACAATAACCCATTAAATATTATATTTTTAATTGCAAAATTTGTAATTTATAAACAAATGAGAAAGAAATCAATTCCACATTTTAAACAAGTAAAGTGGGAAATAATTAAATATTATGAAGCTACAAGATCTATTGCTTTCTCAAATTGTAAACAAGCTAATTTTTTCTCTTTTTAGTCTTCATTCCACACATTATTCAAGAATACCAAGATATGATTTAATACTACAATTTGTCTGTTATTCTGTATAGAAACCTTATATATAGATCTACCAGATGTACCAGAGAAACAAACTACTGAATGTACAACAAGGCGATTTGAATATATACCATGCTGATCTTAATGTAATATGTTCCATGTATACTTTGTATTTGAAATGATGGGAATAAAAAAAAAAAAATTGAAAAAAAGAAAAAAAAGAAATCGCGGCACAGATATGATGCGAACGTGCCCTGTCGATCACTTCGGGCTTGGCCATTCAATGTTTAGGTTTTGATCATGAACCTCCTGCCCATAAATATACACTATACCAACTTAATATTAACGATTATAGCTATCTTTCCATATCTTTGAATTGAATATTTTCTGTAAACCAGCATCATAAACAAAAAGACAATCTGCACTGTCGGTTGGTATGTAGCGCCGTGCTAAATCGCCATGACACACAGTCGATAAACATATGCAATAGCCAATACTTGAACAAAAAACTTCCGTGGCCGACTAAACGTTAGTACTCTTGGGCCAATAACTGTACAGTGGGGACTAGTAAATTTTTCTGACCAGTCCGATCAGATTTCTTTTTCAAATTGGCTATCTGATATAATAATAGTTTCGTGCATGTGACATGGGTGCATAATAAAAAATTGCCTTCATTCGCATGAAGTTCGACATGGCAGAAAAAGATCGAGAAGCGCGGTAACCACATTACTAATCTCGCCATATTTCGCAATCCGTAGCTCTGCATAAAATATGAGTTACACGATATTAACGTTGAGATGATTAGTGTGTTGATAGTTATAAATTCATTCAATGAACGTCATAAATTTAATGGAAATATACACTGTCGTTTTCTCATGTGTACCGACCATTCCGCCATTACCGATAGTAGATAAAAACATACAAAACGTGTAAATAAACTTGTTCATAAAGGAGTGAACAGAATTGTATTTACGTGAATAAGTATACAGTTGGGAAAAATCTGTCTTTCTGACCACTCAGGTCATATTTTTTCTTATGAACAAGGATTTTGTCTGAAAATATTTACGTGTTTGTGACATGGGTGCATGATCAAAATTCGCCGTCATTCGCTTGTTATTCAAACATGGCTGAAAAAGGCCGAGAAGAGCGGTAGCCACTTTACTAATCTCGCCATATTTCGCAATCCGTAGCATTGTATAAAGTATGAGTTACACGATGTTTAAGCTAAGATGATTGGGGTGATGATGGTTATAGTTTTGACTTTGCGCACTCAGTGTTAAATATAAAAATTCACAGTTTAAAAAGGGCATTTTCTCGGGACCATATATGGTCCCCTGGCACTATACGGGTGTGAAAAGTGAGGGACCATATATGGTCCCGTGGCACAAGGAGGGTTAACAAGATACTGTCCACATCTATACATTTTCATATCTTATTTCTTTTAATGGTCATTCGGAAATACATGTACATGCATCAAAGCATGAAATAACACTCCCCACATGAGACCACGACTACCTGCATGTCAGTGTCGGCCCGGCAGCCCCACGTTATCACCGTCCACTTCTGAAGAAATCCAATTCACCAGATTTGATATTTAGCAGGAAAACGCCCCGTGGCGCCCCAACAAACAAACAAATCTTTCCAATAGCAGAGTAGTTTGTACGATGTCGACTATATCACGAGCATGTGTTAATGAATAAACCTCCACTCACCTGTATAGCAGCCATTACTCTTCTAGCCGGAGAAATCCGACGCTCAGATAAGCTACAGCATGTGTACACACAGCCGTTTCTGACATCAATAACTAAAATATTGGATTGCCTTAAGGTCGGGCCGGGCCGGGCCGGGCAAGCCGGTAATCCTAAAAATATACGAGGGCCATTCAATATGGGGTATTCTCAGGACGACGACCCCTCGAATTTTTCCATTCGCAGGACGACGACCGCCGGTACGCCTTTGATGCGTGGTGTTGTTTTAGGAGGGGATTAACTCCTTGGTTAGTGTCAAAAACTGAAATGTGTTCACTGAATTGGTGAACTCCGATTTTGATAATCTAACATTTTGACTTTTACGTCATCTTGTACATATACATTCCAATTATTTGTAAATAAATCAATATTCCATCCTTATTGTCTTTCATTCGTTCGTTTCAAATCCATTTCCACTTTTTTACTTGCTCGAGTTGTTAAAATAACACTCGATACCCATTGTTCAACTAGATTGGCGGATTAAAATATTCGCAGGACGACGACCTCACTTTTTGCTAGTTTGTTTTCATACGACACGGGGTCGTCGTCCTGAGAATGAACCTTCAATATATAACCAGCCTAAGCTATTTATCAGATCTTAACGGTGGCATGTTTGTCACGTGCAGTGCACCAATGTATGTCACGTGCATAGACAAAGTTTCACTGAGGAAATTGTATTTGAAGTCACACACGTGATCTATAAAGATGGCAAGGGTAGATTCTGCCAAATTTTCGTCAAAGGTTGAATACAGGGCTGTTATTAGGTAAAAGGGAAACCGGGAAAGGAGATACATGATGAATTGTCAGATGTTTATGGTGACAGTGCACCTTCGTATGCACAGGTCAAATTCTGGGTTGCAGAATTTAAGAGGGGTCGGGTGAACCTGGAAGGCCTTGGACATTTCAGAGGGAAGTGTCCATACCATTTTGCATGATCGTCTGGGTATGAGGAAGCTGTCTGCCCGATGGGTCCCGAAATGTCTGAGTGATGATCAGAAGGCTGTACGTGCGTCAATGTGTCCGGCACTTTTGACGCAATGCAGTCGGGATGCAGACAACTTTATGGAGAGAATTGTTACTGGTGATGAAATCTGGGTACACCACTATGACCCCAAAACCAAAGAACAGAGTAAGCAGTGGACTGGCTTTGCTTCACCCCGTCCCAAAAAGTTTAAGACTCAACCATGGCATGGCAAAGTCATGGCAACCATCTTTTGGGATACCAAAGGGGTCTTGCTCATTGACTACTTGCCACTATTTGACTACTTGTCATTTCCGGTCCGATGATGAACTCACGACAGCAGTGGAGGTGTGGTTACACGAACAACCCAATGGTTTCTATCACAGCGGGCTCTCACACATCGCTGGACAAAGTGCATACACCTCAATGGTGATTATGTGGAAAAAGAAGAAGTGGGGAGCAGTAGCAAATAGGTTAGGCTGGTTATATATTGAATGGCCCTCGTACAATAATAAATCGAAACGTGCAGATCTGAGGTGAGGTGAAATGGGGTTTAACGTCGCGTCCAAGATTGTTGTACTTATATGGCGACGTGCATGGACGTGTATGTGTGTGGCTGCTTGTACTAGTCCGGACTGATGCCGATTTATAGTGCTAGCACACTGAGATACCATGCCGCAGTTTAACATGAATACCCCACTCGGACACAGTATACTGACTCCGAGCCGACCAGTCCTTGATATGCACCTTAATGCCGAGCGCTAGACAGGGTAACAACAAGTACCATCTTTTAACATCTTTTGGTATGACGCGGCTGGGGATCGAACGCCGAACCTTCCGCTCTCCCGGCGGACGCTCTACCATTAGACCGCGGAGGATGCAGGCAGATCTGAAATGTCATCAAACGTATAGTTCCCGTGGAAACCGGGGAAGATAAATAAGAATGTGTCCTCAGCACCCCATTGCTGGTCGTAAAAGGCGACCGAATTGGGCAGCCTGTTTGCCGTGGGCTGTCTCGGCAGAGGAAGGGATTCTCGTGGTTGAGGGCGACGGTGCCGGCAATAGTGCTCCTTAGTCCAACACACCACTTCGGCCCTAACTTTGCCAAGACGGGCGGTAGAATGGGCCCGATTCTATCAATCGGCTGGTCATGTCATGCCCTGTGCATAAACTATTTCGTACAAACATTTTGAATTTAAAAATAAATCTATTTAAAAATGTCTAATATATACTCAACAACAAAAGTTCCTGTGACACCAATATTTTGGTGTATTTTTTCAAACAAGTAAAGTTTGGTTTTCAATATTGTATTAAATGTATGGAATCAAGTCACAAAAACGCAACTGCTACAGAAAAGTATGCATTCCATGCAAAAGTTGACAAGCCCCATGCATTTCACTACCCAAGAATGGGTATAAAACATGTGCGTTAACGGGATTCCGTTTGCATTGTTTAGCATCGTGCTGACAACAACCACTCAGAAAAACAACAAAATTACGCAATTATTCAACATTACGAAATGCCACGCCTGTCCGAAAATGAGCGTCTGCGAGCCATTGGTATGTTTGAAGCAGGATCGAGTCAACGTGATGTTGCAAGACAATTTAACGTCCACAGAAACACCATTTGGTGTTTATGGCAACGTTGGCAACAGGCGAATGCAGTCAGAGACCATCATCGGAGTGGCAGCCCACACGTAACCAATAATCGACAAGACAACTGGATTCGAACAACACACCCACGAAATCGATTCCTGCCAGCAACAGTGACAACAAGAAGCATCCCTGGCCTTCGACGAATATCTTCACAAACTGTGCGTCGCCGCCTCAGATGTGCAGGGATTGTCGCCAGAAGACCCGACAGACGTCCCATTTTGACAGAAACCACCGTCAAGCACGTCTACAGTGGTGCAGTTAGCGTCTACGCTGGACGGCCATGCAGCGGGGGCAAGTTCTATTCACTGACGAGTCTCGTTTTTACCTAAGCCACAGGTATGAGCCACGATTGACAAATTCGAGTGTACCGACGTCGAGGTGAACGTTACGTCAATCATTGTGTCATGGAAGAAGATCGGTTCGGGGGGCGGCAGCGTTATGGTATTGGGTGGGATTACAGCAAGACAGAGGACCCGTTTGATAGTGGTAGAGAGAAATCTCAATAGACAGCGCTACCGCGACGAGATCATCGGCCCTGTTCTTCTATCGTTTTTGCGTCGTCATGGCCTAGGCATTACCTTTTAGCATGACGCCCGGCCTCCTATTGCTCGACTTGTTCAGGATTCTCTTCAACAAAACAACGTGAATGTCATACCCTGGCCGGCTCGCTCCCCTTATCTCTCAGCAATCGAGCACATGTGGGATGAGATCTATCGGCGCCTTCGACGTCAACCAGGGGACACGAGTGGCCCAGTCGTCTAAGGCGCTGCGATTCGCTGTGCAGAGTTGCATCCCTTGGGCACGCCAGAAACCTGTGATTGTGGGTTCAAATCCCGGTTAGCCCCGATTATGTTTCTAGGTTTGTCAGCACCATACCCGTTTTTGTGGGTTTCACCGAAGTGGTTAACGTCTGAGACTCGCATCACTTCGGGCTTTCCTCTCACATTAAGCTGCCCCGCCGTGATATAACTGAAATACTGTTCAAAGCGGCGTTAAACCCAACTCACTCACTCGACGTCAACCACGTGTTCCACAGACGCTCCAGGAACTTCGAAACATCCTTCAGCAGATATGGATAGATATCCCACGGGAATTTGTGCGACGCCTGGTCCATTCAAAGAGACGAAGATGTGTTGCTTGCATCGCAACCAGAGGTGGACACACACGCTATTGATTTGTAAATTGACATTTTGGCATGTTCATGTTTTTTTTATGAAATCGTCGCATTTTATGAAGTCGGTATGGCACATTAAACCATTTGAACACTTACAGGAGTCTTTTATCTGCTGCAAATCGAAATTATTTCAGATTTGGTAAAAAACATAACTTTGCATTAAATCTTATTCATGTCATAGGAACTTTTGTTGTTCAGTATATATGTATGAATCTATAAAACTTGCCCAGAGCCCAGAAGGTGGTGACTCATGGGCCAATGTGGTGATGATGACCTCCGAATTATGTACGTTTCCAATAAATGTTCATGGCCCGAGCCAGCCTGACCCTTAATTTGGTAGATAGTTATTGTTTTTCGCGTCAAAATTGCTGGAGTATAACACCCCTTTATCCCCGGTCTTTGCAGCTTGGAAATCCGCTACAGCATAAGACTGATCTTGTAGACACTCCATGGTGGGTGGGCAAAAGGGGTGTTGAATCATTTTCCTTTCGACATGGCTTCCCAACACCCTGGTTCAAAACGTAGATACATTGAATCTGACAATTCAGCTGACGAAAATACCACTAAACGATCGGACTATTGGCTACGTTTATTCATCATCTAAGCTTGTGACTAAGAAACAATAAAACTAAATCCGTTTGCAATCCCCAAAGGTATCGCCGGTACCTGCGGAGAGGTTACAAATGTCACCAAGCTTCGATCTGGTTCTCTCCTCGTGGAATGTGCACGGAGACAGCAATTCATCAATCTTCTCGGTTTGAAAGAGTTTGTAAATATCAAGGTTGCTGTGTCTGAACACAGGACACTGAACTCATGCAAGGGAATTGTCCGTGACAATGCTCGCTGCCTGTCCGGCATGACCGAGGATGAAATATACTGTTCAAGGAAAGCAAAAGTCTGAGGCTATACACAGGTCTACCATTAGATGTACCAGGCATTGTCATGGCAGCATCTTGGCTGATTTTTGAAAGGAGGATTTCGCCATTCATTTCACATCCCAGTCGCTTTTGAGATTAGCCCAAAGCATGGTAGCTGGAGATAGTGTATGGACAGGTCTTATGCGTAGAATCTATTCCAACCCGTATGTGTAGAAATATTGTTTACCGTTAAGATGGTTTAGTAATGAATGTTAAATGCCACACTCAGTAATGTTACAGCTGTAACACAGTAACATTTAAAGTCTCCAGACTGGACTAGTCAAACAAGTGGTTTATATTATGAGACATACTTTAACCAAGTCACAGAGAATCACAGTCGGACCCATTTTAGCCTCCTCTTGCGAAAAACATGTGCTACTGGAGACCATATCCATGCTGATATTCTGATGGTGTATGATTCTTGAGAGAAACTATCTACTGGGGATCCCGTTGCTTGGCGAATGTAAGCGACGTCTCTCAGATAACAGTGGGACAAAATGTTCTTTATGTGAGAAATCCAGTTTGGTGATTCCTA